CACCAGCTGGAGCAAATTTTCGGGAAGAGATCTGAAAGCCAGCTCTGAAAAGAGTGGAGCATGAGCTGAATCTCGGCAGGCTTCTTCCTGGTGGATCTTTATTACCTCTAATTATTACTGTCCCAGGGCTGGCATTATGATGCAGCATCTGTTAAGCCACGGCATACGATGCTGCCATCCCACACACGAATACCCGGGCAGGTCCTCGTTGTTCCACTTCGGCCCGAGCTCCCAGCTAACAGGCCTGGGAGGGCAGCAGAAGCAGCCCCAGTGCTTGTGCCCTGCACTCACAGGGATGGAGCTCCAGCCTCTTGGCTTTGATCTGGACCAGCTCCAGCTGCAATGGCAGTTTGGGGTGTGGCCAGTGGATAGAAGCTCACTCTCTCCCCATCTCTCCCTTTCTTCCACATTGTCTTTAAATAAATAAATAAATCTAGATTTTTAAAGTAACTATTGCTCTCCCATCACACCTGCAGTCTCCTTGAGGTTATTTCTAGGCAACAAGGAATCAAACATCTGGTGAGATTTCATCACCTCTTCCTCCCTACTAAATGCTCTAATCCATAGTGTCAGCGTTAAATTCTGACTTGAGGCACTCTTCCACTCAAGCCCTCGCCATCACCCAGTAAGCCCTTCCTGGGGAACCTGACAGCACTCTTCTGGAATGCTTTCCAAGGCCTTTCAAGCCAGTCCAATTCCATCATCAGGTGCTTCTACAGGAAGCTTCCTATTTCAGGTGCACACGCTCCCATCCGCAGCAGGCTGTGTGCCCCCAGAGCCGCGGGCTGTGCTGGACCAAGGTAAGGCTGTATGTCCGGCCTCGGTCCTCCACTGCCCACGCCGTGCAGGGTGTTCTACAGGCCACTGCTTTCAACCCTGGACTCCACTCAGTGCAGAGTTGGGAGGTTTACTACTGGTTGTTGTCAGGCTGCAACTCTGCAGAGTCATCACTTCCATAAAAGGAGTCTAATGAAGGAGCAGGGCAGCATCTGCAACTCTTACTGGAAAAGAGCATGCCTAGTCCTTCTGAATAACTTGGAGACAACAGGAAAATCGAGAATTCTAGACAGCCTCTGTTGTTCACCATCACTACCTTACATGCATTTAAGGCATCAACCCAAACTATGTCACATACGAATCCTGGAGAGTTAGACTAGCTTATGACACACAGCCATGGTGAATTCATTTTTCTTTCTCCTATGCTATCAGAGTAGGACATATAAGTGTTAAGAGCAAAGGCCTTGGGGTAGGCATGGGGCCCAGTAGTTACGTCGACAGTGAGTAGCTGGGCTCCTGGCTCCAGCTTTCTGCTAACGACGCAGACTTTGAGAGGCAGCAATTGGTGGCTCAAGTAATAGGGCTCTTCCACCCACAGGAGGACCTGGATTGAGTTCTGGCTCCCCTCAGCTTTGGGCTCCCCTGATTCAGGACTGCTGCAGGTGTCTGAGAATAAACCAACAAGCAGGAGCTCTGTCTGTCTCTCACTCTGCTTCTTTGCTACATTGTGGCACAGCACACTAAGCCAGTGTTTGAGATGCTGGTATCCCATGTCAGACCTAGCTCCAGTCCTGGCTGTTCCACTTTACACCCAACTCCCTGCTAGTGTGCCTGGGAAAGCAGTGGGGCATGTATCGAGTGCTTAGGCCTCAGACACCCAAGCAGGAAGCCTGGATGTATGGCTTCTGGCTCTTGGCTTTGGCCTGGCCCAGCTACAACTATCACTGACATTTGGGGAATGAACCAAAAGATAGACATTCTCTTTCTCTTTATACATCTATCACTCCGCCTTTTAAATAAATAATTTTTAAAGTTAATGATAAAAAATGTATTTTAAAAAAATGCCAATCAGCTAAGGTGCAGGGGTCTAGAGAGATGAGGAGGAAGGCTGACATTCCTGAAATAAGATGTGAACTGCAGGTTTTGGTGCCGTGGCCTAGCAGTTAAAGTCCCCACCTTGAACCCGCTGGAATCCCATATGGGCTTCGGTTCCAATCCCGGCAGCCCTGCTTCCCATCCAGCTCCCTGCCTGTGGCCTGGGAAAGCAGTTGAGGATGGCTCAAAGCCTTGGGACTCTGCACCCACGTGAGAGACCCGGAAGAGCTCCTGGTTGCTGGCTTCAGATTGCCTGTTGCAGTCACTTGGGGAGTGAAACTTTGGATGGAAGGTATTTCTCTCTGTCTCTCCTCCTCTCTCTCTCTCTCTCTCTCTCTCTCTCTCTATATATATATATATATATATATATATGACTTTGCAATAAAAATAAATAAATCCTTAAAATAAAGTGGGCTGCAAATGAGTCTTTCTGCTTTTGCCACAGGCAGAGAAAGACACCACAGCCATAGCCACTTTCCTTATGCTAGGAGTGGTTCTGGAGCCTGGCGGTGTGGCCTAGTGGCTAAGTCCTCTCCTTGGGTGCGCCGGGATCCCATATGGGTGCTGGTTCTAATCCCGGCAGCTCCACTTCCCATCCAGCTCCCTGCCTGTGGCCTGGGAAAGTAGTTGAGGACGGCCCAAAGCCTTGGGACCCTGCACCTGTGTGGGAGACCTAGAGGACATTCCTGGCTTCTGGCTCAGGATCGGCACAGCTCCAACCGTTGTGGTCACTTGGGGAGTGAATCATCAGACAGAACATCTTCCTCTCTCTCCTCCTCCTCTCTGTATATCTGACTTTATAATAAAAATAAAATAAATCTTAAAAAAAAAGGAGTGATTCTGAAGCTCTCTGACTAACACAGAGAAGCAGGGTCCCCGTGGGCCCTTGGTGCCACCTGCTCTTAAACCCCGCCCCCAACCTCTGTTCCCATTCCTATCCTCCCAGTGATTACTGCAATAGTCCTGAACTTCACTCAGGACCGCTGGGAGATGACAGTGACCCACTATACTGCATCTTCTGCTGAAGACCAGGGCAAAAGGGGGAGACAGCACAGGCTGCGTGAGACACCAGAGGCTGTGCTCGGGGCGGGGCTGAAGGCTTCCTCCTCCTCATTGGAACAATTCCAAGCCAGGGTTCTCTGTGTTTCTCCTCCTCATTGGAACAATTCCAAGCCAGGGTTCTCTGTGTTTCATGGTCAACAGACCCTGCATTCATCTTTCAGAGCCCATAAGTGGATTGGAGGGAACTTAGAGCCAATATGCCCCCAAGCTTGAGAATTCCTAAGAAACCAATGCTGGGCTACAGAACATCTCTACCAGCAAAGGTGCCAAAATATGGGGCTGTGCTGAGGTGGGAAGAGCGAGGCTGCTGCCTGGGGTCACAAGCTGTGGCGATCCTGGGAAGACATGGCCTGCATACTTGGGACCCTTCTCCACATCTCAGCTCCAGTCCATCTCATGAGGCTGTTCTCTCCTCTCTGGGCAGTCACACCTGCATTCTCTCTCTCTCCCCGCTTAATGCACAACGAGGGGCACGCAGGGTCCAGCCTGCGGGTCTGTACTCACCTCCTCGCGTGCTTCCCTGAAGGAAGGACTCACAGTCGCTCCCCGTCTGGAGGCAGATGGCTTGGCGGTGTTTTCCTGCTGCCCAAAGAGCTCCTCGATGGTCTTGGTATCTATCTGGTAGTGCTGCTGCTGGCTAGCTGCCAGGGTCCAGATGTTGGTTTTGCCCCGCACTTGCTCTTCGGGAATGGTTTTCCAAAAAAAGCTCCTCATCCGCTTCTTCTTGCCCGCCTGGCTGTAGCCATTTAGGTGAGGAGCTGGGGGGAGTCCCGGAGGGGGAGGTGGGCCAGGAGGTGCAGCGGCCGGCAAGGGAGGTGGTGGGGGAGGAGGCGGGGAGGGGGCAAAGCCTTGCTCCGAATATGGACATGGTGGAGGCGGAGGGGGTGGAGGAGGAGCCGGAAGGGGCGTTTGGCCAATCATGAATCCAGCTGCCATGGCGATATTCCCATTTTCTTTATCGCTGGCCAAGTAGACACAATTCATAACACGCATAGTACTGTTGCCTTCTAAGGAGATAATTGCTTGACCTTAGGGAGGCAGACACCAAACATCAGACAGGGTGTCATAGCTTTTCACCGGCTAGTCAGCTGCCAGGAGCGGTAGCACGCTGTCATCTTCCAAACCTGCCAAGAGAAAACGAGTTCCAAATCAGGGCAGGTGAATGTCACTTTGGCTCCATCTCCAGAGGCAAAGGGGCAGCACATCCCACAGGGCATTAAAAGGCTTGGGCACAGACACACACAAGAGACACATCATCAGCACCTGGAGACACAGCAGCAACAGATCCTGAATGGAAACCTTCCATCAATCAAGAAGGCATGCACTTCCTTGAAGAGGCCCCGCTACAGGCTGGGCCAGGATGGCTCCCTGTATGAATAAGCTATTTGTTCACTAACTAGCTTACTCTCTCTGGGCACTGCACAGCCAGCTCCTAGGGAAACTGCCCAAATTGCTGAAGCATTAGGCGTTGGTGACCCTGCCTTCTTCCAGTTTGGACATGCCCTCTACCCATCAGTGGGTCAAAGGCATCTTTCTCTTTCTACCAAACAAGCAGGTCATCTGGACATGACAAAGTATGGCCTACCTACCACTCTTTCCTGGAGTCAGAGCCAGCCAGTCCCTGCCCCACCTGGAGATGTGTCTTCCGCCAGCAAACAGAGAACGCCAAATGTGAGGAGTCAAGATTCCTGGCACTTAGAATTGCAGAAAGCCGTTTCACTCGTTGGACTTAATTTTTCTCATTTGTCCAATCAGGAGAACACAGTAACTGGCTCTCTCACCCCTTCCGACGCTCTCATCTAGGCCCCTAGTGAAAACATCAGGATGTCTTAACCACCTCCTCCATGACGTCACTAGCCACGCAGAGATAGAGACAAGGATGTGCTGTCTGTATCACGCCTGCCACATGTCTCCCCCTTATCTACACCGTCACTGCCTTATTTTGGTGACTTGTATATTTGCGGTACTGCCAATGTTTGCTCTGGGTGTTGGGATGTTGCTAACTTGCTGTGGAAACAGATCAGATATGAGGACGGGGGTGCAAAGGAGGGACGGAGTGGAGCGTATCCAGGGAAAGGGACCCACTTCCTACTTCTATCTGGATTTCTGGGTGCAGTGAACCTTCCGCAGGATCAGTGTCAAAGCCCACACAGACACACAAGCTCATCTAACCAAGAGTAAACCATCGGCCACCACTATTTCAAACATTCTGAAGAACCACACGTAAAAGGCAAGTCCGCCTGGGGAACAAGCGGGGAGTTCTACAGACTTTCTTCTCAGAATCCAGTTTGGACACACAACCTGGTCTCAAAGTGGATATTTAACCTGCATGCCGGCGTCCCCACCTACCCCAAGAGGATGTGCCTGCTAACGTGGTTTACATTAAGAATAAATGAGCTCATCCAGGCAGAGCTGTAAGACACAACAGCCAACTGGTATTCCACATTCACTCACTGTCCCTATGGTCTCTCAGGCCTTCTGTATGTGCTGGGTTTATATAGAAAATGCAAGGCACTCCTGGTGCTCAGACTATATTTTTCATGTTTCTAGTCTCTCAGAGTTTTCTTGCTTGTGGAATTTGTCCTTTCTTTCAGTGCTGAGTGATTATGTATTCATGCGTGCATAGGATTAGCTCAAAATTAAAAAGATAATATTTGATGAAATATCTGAAAGTTCAGCTTCTGAGAGCAGCCTGTGTATAAGCAGAAAACGGCATTTCGACTGTCAACTGCATATTCTTTTTTTCTTTTGGTCAGTTAAAGCATTTTAAAAGTCCAATTTAGTTGAATGAAGCACATGTACAGTGTTATGCTGCTGTTGCCATTGGGATACTTTTTTTTTAAGTAGGGAAAATTAAAAATATTCACCCAAGTCAACTTACAGTTCACTTGAGATGCAACTGGCTTTTAGAAGGAGTTTTCATAATTATCATTAGGAACATAACTAGGCTGTTTTCAGAGCTGGCATCCCTAAAGCAAATGACTCATTGCCAATTATAGTTTATAGTTATATTTGAACTCTTCTTTTTTTCAAGACTGCACAGGTACTTTTGGCAGTTGATTCTTACATATTTTAAAATACTTCTGTACATAAAACACCCCACGTATAGAAGAGTTGCTAATCCTCCCATTCATCTCCAATTCCAGATATGCTGACAAGTTTACAGATGATCCCTCTTAAGAATGCTGATAAGCTCAAGTCTCCAACCTAGAAAGCAACCTCTTGCTTAGCACTGCCTGAATGTACATACGACGTGCCACTAACCCGGAGGAGCAGATGGAGAGCTCCCAGGGCAGAGAGCGCCCATGCCCTCACCGTGCCCTCAGACTGAGCTACCTGCCTATGCCACTAACCCCAGGAGCAGACGGAGAGCTCCCAGGGCACAGAGAGCCCATGCCCTCACCGTGCCCTCAGACTGAGCTACCTGCCTATGCCACTAACCCCAGGAGCAGACGGAGAGCTCCCAGGGCAGAGAGTGCCCATGCCCTCAGACTGTGCTACGTGCCCATGCACCAGGATGTCAGCGTTTTACAGCCTTGTGTTCAGTACATAGGCAGTGTGGGATAAAAGCTCACCCAAGGAGCAAGGGACGCGGATCAGGTACACACCAGCACCATTCTAACCAGCATCCCAGCTCGAGAAAGAATGTCTTCTTCAAATGTTACAGGAACAAAGGGAAAATGTACAGCATGATCCCTAGGGATGTCGTCAGGTTCCTTTTTGTTCCCCAGGGTAACACACAGGGTCTGAGCGCCCCAACAGCTTCCAACACATCTGCTTACCATCAATGATTAGCTAGGATGTTAGCTAACACTTTTACTACCGTTACTTCAGCCTTCCTCCTCTGGCCAGGATCCCCAGTGTCAGAGAGGCGCTCGGCAAAGGAGAGGGTACACACAGCCCTGCTTCTCAAGACAGGGGACACGGCAGAATCTTGTGTTTACCAGGGGTGCGCTCTCCACCCAGGTCACAAGTGGACATTTCCTGCAGGCACACTGGGACAATCCAGGTGACAGCCCTACCAGAAGTTGCCCAATGCATTTCTCATGGCACGCCACAGCTGGCCAGCCAGCAGGGACAACAACGGGGATAATTTAGCTCTGGCTCTGAGTGAGAAATGTCAAGTGCCCCATCCATCTCTCCGAGAGAGCTTCGATGGAACATCTCCGCTGCTGAGAGGCCGGCCGCTGAGCCCAGAGTAAAGGGCTGGGGGGGCCTCACGGGGAAGGCTCTAGAAAGTGAAAATGTTCCTGAGTGCTAAGCATGACCCATCAGGGATGTGCCTGAGTGACAGACCCGCCCTGGAGGGCTGCAGCTGTGCAGAGCATCTCCTAGGCACGCGAAAACTCAGTGCGAAGGGGATCCCCGACTTAGCCTTCACTTGACTGGCAGACAGAAAGTCTTAGCAGCTTAACATGGAGCTCATAAGGGTCTTCAGAGACACCCTCCCCCTTACTCCCCGCCAAGGCGCTCTGGCCTAAGGATCAGCACTCCCTCGGCCTCCGGCCTCCGTGTCAAAGACACCCCGGTAACTCCATTCTCTTGAAGGGAATTTGGCAGGAGATGCGAAAAGCAAGCTTCATCTGACTGTGTACTGAAGGACAAAACACCGTCCTGAGATTCAGTTTAGCCCTTAGAGGTAGTCTTGTGGCCCAGCTGACCACTCACCAGGCCACATCGCTCCCCTAGAACAATTATCAGAAGTCACACTAAAGAAAACGGGCCAGGAGACAGCCCATCCGGCATTAGGAGGTAAGGGCAGAAAGGGCGGGCCCACACCCTCTGACAATGAACAGCGCCAGCAGGGGACAGGCAGAGAGCAACACAGGGAAGCAAAAAGGTAGAAAAAGTTCAGGCCGTTCCTAAACATTCCCTCATTGACAAAAGACTCCTCCACTGCCACCAGGCTCGCTTACTAAACACAGATTGTCCACCAGGTCACCCAGAGCTGGGCATTAAAATCGTCACCGCGGTAAAGAGAGGCTGCACCCCTCCCCCCGCCCCCCGCCACACACGGACCGACAACCAGAGCGCAACGCCTGTTCCCAATGGGCATTTTCAGTTTCTGTTCCAAACCCACGGGCGGGGGTGCTGGGGAGATGCCAAAGGATGCTCTCTAAGGGGAAGGGCAGGGAGCCCGTTCCAGGAAGACAAACTGTGGGTCGGCAGAGGGGGCCGCACCAGCAGCCGTTTCCGCGCAAACAGCTGCTAGGAAGCAGCCAGCAGGTCCCGGAGAGGGTAGCCGGGGCGGGGTGGGGAATCGGTGCGGGGGCACTGAAGGGCACGGTTGCTTTCAAGTCGGTCTAGACTCGCAGGCGTTTCCTACGTCTTGGCTTTGGCACAAGGTCCGCCGCCTCTTTCCGTCCCAAATCCCGCGCGCTCCGCGCCCGCCACTCACCACCACGCCGCCCGGCTCGGACGCTTTCCGCCGCCAGCAAGTGCGGTGCGCCGGCCGCCATCCCCCCGCTGCGTCCGCCTGGGGACCTCGGGGCGCGGCGAGCGAGAGCGGCGAGGGGGCGGTCCCGCGGAGTCCTCATCAGCGCGCAGGCTGCGGCGCGGCGCCGAAGGACGCCCACACGCGCCGCACCGCACCGCCGCCCGGACAGGGTTCGAGCCCTCGCCTCCCCGGAGCTCCGGGCGTCCGCCCCTTTCCCTCCAGCAGAAGCCAGCCGAGCGGCCGCCACGCCGGCTCGGCCAACCCCTTCCCGGAGCTCCTCGGGTCGGGGCGGGCTGGAGGCCACCCAGGGATGAGCAGTAGGGGTGGAGGGTCGCTCGGCCCCGCCCCTCGCCTTCCCGGGACCCGGCTTGGGACCCCGCCACCCCGGCCCTGCCACGCCGAGCCCGGGCGCCCGCCCCTCTGCGGGGCTGCAGCTGAGAACTGCCAGAAGGGTGGGTGGGTGCACCTCGGGAAGGCGCCCCTGTGCTTAATAAGGTGAAAGGGGGATGGGGGTCCTCTGGATTCGCGGATTTGGGGTGTGAGGCAGGCGCGCCCGGCTACGCCCCCTCCTCCAGGGCTCCCGGCCCGGCCGCCCGCGCGGGGACTGAAAGCCGACGCACTGCGGCTCCGCCACGGAGAGGGAGCAAGGACGAAGCCGCGGGAAGAAGCAGAGAGGTTCCTCCGGGCGTCAGCTCGTGGGGCCCGAGTTTTAAAGAAAGCCGGTTGTCCAAGACTGGAGAGGAGGAAGAGGAGCCGCCGTCTTCCCCCACTTCTCCCGGCTCCCGGCGCAACTTCTAACCTCAACTCAGCGCGGGCACAGCGAGGGCCCGCCGCACGTCCTCGGTCCGCATCGCCGGACTGGGTGCCCGCTCTGCGCACCCCGCATCCCCTGTCGCAGGGTGTCCTGTGCGGGGTTCCTCTCCGATCGGCCCGGGGTCGGCGGGGGACAGTGAGTCTCAAAGTCTCGTCCCAAGCTGAATCAGCCCATCCCCCAGGGCCAGCAGGCCAGCAGCCCGATCCCCGGGCGCGGGTCCCACAGCCCGGCGAGCCTAACGCTGCCGCGTAAGGGAGCTAGAATCTTTTCCCAAGCCTTCCCCCAGGGAGGGCTTCCAGAAAGCCGACACCCGGCACCCCTCGGCTGCTTCCTAGCACCCGCTCAACCCCCGGCGCAGCAACCTGGGTCCCGCCGGCCCTCCCCTCGCCATCCTCCCGGAGCCCCGGAGCCTGGGCCGCCACCTGGCTCGCACTCACCCGCGGCTCCCGCAGCACGGAGCTCCTCCCGCAGCGCGGAACCCCGCACTCTCTCCGGCGCGGTCTCGCAGCGCCACCGCCTCCTCCCGGCCACTGCAGGCCCGGCCGGCCGGACCGCGAGGGGGCTGGGCGGCGCGCGCGGGGCGGAGCCGCTGCCTCAGGTAACAATGCTGCGGCCGAGGCTGCGCCCCGCAGAGGGCAGCGCGCCCTTTCCTGCGCGGCCCCTCTCGCCCCGCTCCCCGTCACGGTCACCCTCCGGGGATGGCCTCGGCCACCGCCCGGCCCGGCACCTGCAAAAGGGCCTACCAGCGGCCGCTTGGCAAGCCGCTGCGTCCCACCTCCGGCCCCGGCGCCGTTCCCCTGGAGGCTGGAGCGCGGGGCGGGCCCCGCGACCTCCCCAGGGGGAGTTGGGGTGGCGGGAAAGCCGCACGGCCCGGCTGCGAAGGCGCCGCCAGGTGTCCTAGGAGACCGGGCGAGGGGAGGAGTCAGGCGGGCTGCGGAGCCCGGCCCGGAGTCAGCCACAAAAGGAGCCGCCGCGGCGCCCCCGCGCGCGCCCTGCTTCCTCACCCTCGCACACCCGGTGCACGGCACGCGCGCCGGTCCGCCACCGTCCAGCCCCGCACCTGCTTCTTCCCCCAGAGCCTTGGGTCAGTTCCTTCTGAGGGTCGGCCGGCCTGTTAGGTTTGGCTTACCTTTCCCTTTTATTCCCTCTCAGGGATGAGGGTGACAGGAACGCCTCCGTTTCTTGACAGGAAAAAAATAGACCGCAGGTGTGATGGAGTGCACGCAGGCTTGGTGACAGACTCGTCACACCCATAGAAGGCTGTGTGTGCCGGGGGGGATAGTGAAGAAAGTTCAAAGCTTGTCCCCCTTAAAACGCCTGGAGATGGCCAGGCAGCGAGTGGAATGAGAAGTTTCAAATGCCTGAAGGCCGATTGACGACTCTCAAGCTAACTGGCTGACAGGCTGCGGGCGGCAAGGGGCGGACAGGCGCCCTCGCGGGGATGAAGTCATCGCTACCTTTGCCTCCGTGAGATAACTGGGCTTGGCTCTTCAGCCCCAGGTGCCGCAGGACTTCCGCCTCCTGCACCTTGGTCCTCGGTGGGGAGAAGGCCTGGAACTCCGGAATTCTGCCCACCCCCCGCAACATGCGGACCTGGGGAGAGAAACGAGAGGGACCCGATGAAGTTGTCCAGCCGACAAACCAAAGCCAAAGTTGGCGATGACGGCGTGTTTTTTTGCCCACCTCCCCAAGTCGAGGGGAGTGGATCCCCACCAAGAGCATAAGAAGACTTGCCGGTGGGAGCTTGCAGTGGACACAGAAGGCTATCCCAAAGGCATGCTGAGGACAAGTTGGGTCCTGAGACAGTGTGAGAGTCAGAAAGGGCATTCTGTCCATCTACCGGCAGCTTTGTCAGATGCGGGCCCCGCCCCTGCATGGCTCCCCAGCTCCCACGCCCGTCTCCCTCCTGCCTGTCCACATTGAAAATGCACACAAACCATTTTTGGAGGGGTCAAGCCCCCGTGCGACCCATCTGCGGCCCCTGGTGCTTTTGATCTGCCTG